CAGCATAGGAGGGTTAATGCCTTCAAATAATCTTTGTTCCTGGTAACAACTCCTTCCCGAAATAATCTCCTCGCATCGGTTACCCCTGCTCCATTTCCCAATTCCAAACCACCCTCAGTACACACTCGATGTCTTACGTGCATCCTTGGCGTGATATCCAAGTATGGGGACTTTACCGAGTACAAGCGTAGAAGTAGATACGCCATGAACCTCTCACAGTGTCTGTCTAATATTCAACTTTGGAACGGATTTGACCCAGCACATACGCAGTTCAGTCCAGCTTAGATCCAACACTAGATGTGAGGCTCCTGATTGTTTGCCAGTGCTATGATGATACTGTTACTGAGGCCGGAGTGGGGCCAATGGGACACTTCATTCGGCCCTGCCCTGTCCACGGCCCCTCTCTATCACCTCCTCAGCTGTCGCTGTAGCCGCAGCCAGTCCAGGGCTTTGTGCAAGTGGGTCTTCCTCCGAGTCAGCACCCCGCTAGCCTGCACCAGCTTCAGCTCGTTCAGCTCCAGGTAGTCCCGGGCCTCCTGCTGCATCTGCTGGATCATCTCGGCCCGGTTCTCGTCCAGGAGGAAGTCCTCGCTGATGGGGGGATTGAAGCGGAAGTAGGTGCCGCTCGGGAGGAGGTCCTGCAGGACCGTGTGTACAGCTGAGGTAACGAAAAAAAGGGGGGTACACTCACGTCACTCGTCCTTTACTGAAACTCTTTGTTTGCGATGCTAACAGTGTACCGTGAAGTCTATTCCAAAAACTTAAGTGAGATGGCCCAACAATAATTGTACATATAAAAGGTACGTCTATTTCAAAGAAATAAGTTAAACTCTACAGCCAACTGTTTGAACTAACCCTTCATGAAATGTTTGAACCCGCCCAGCTATGTAGTGCGAGTACTCCAGAGTGTGAGCACAGCAAACCATGCACATCAGTATGCATTTGCATACTGATGCCATCGGCCATGTGTATAGTTCTTTGGTTGCTATGGGTGTCTTTTGTTCACCTGCGAAAAGCAAGATGGCCATAATAGCAGATGCCACATGACTGGCTCTCGGCTAATCAAGATACAGAATCTCGGGGGTGAGGTGTCATACCAAGGTGTGGCCCACACTGTACATCACACGGTACCTGGATGGGTTACCTGGATGGTAGGGTTGGCATGGCTTCCCATGGAAACCACCGATGCAGCTACTTGACCTACTTACATTCTGTATCGGTGGCGCTGCTCATGATGTTGGTCAGCTTCTTCCTGAGGCTGCTGTATTCCGGCTCCGGGCAGCCCTCCTCGGGGTCGTAGCGCCCACAGCCCACCGACACCACACACTGGATCGGTGTGTCAGGCCACAACAGGCGACACTCGTGGATGGCCAGAGCGCAGGGGTTGTTGGTCAGCACACCTCCGTCCTGTGGTGTTCAGGGGTAGAGCAAGGAATGCTAGCGGTGGTCATCACATGAAAAAATCAGGGATTTATTTGCAAGCCTGCATGAATGTACGGTGTTTCGCAGAAAGAAAACCAAACTTATATCAAACATATTCAGCCCTCTTAAGAACTCGCCTGTTCCAATCTGTGTAAGATTTTACTTGCATAAATATACACTCATTATGAATACATCTACATTTGAACTCAATCTGACGTGGGTTTTGCTGCTACAGTCATTTGCAGTTCAAGGCCTCAGGTGTGTTGACCTGTGTGCACTTAGCACATCAATGGGAAAAGCTGGCTTTTTGGGCTGACCTGTCTCAGAAAAATTGGCATTTTGTGGAAAGGGTAAGTCCAATTTTCACAAAACTGGTGTCAAAATGACCACAAGAAAAACTCCTGATGGGTCACCACAAGGAAAAATATCACCGAGAAATATTGAAGAAAACATTGAGGGATATAGGGACTTCTGGTTCATTTAGGGTAAAAACTGTGCGAAGAACATGTCAGAGGAAAACCTTTGCACGGCGCTGTCAAATACCATTACCTGGAAAACGTACTCATCCAGTTTGCACTCTTCAAAATAGCCGGGTGCCGCAGAGGAGGCTCTTGCTGCTTCCCATAACTCATATTTGCAGGCGCCTCGGTAGCGAGACTGGGTGCCGGGTGGCACGTTGTAGTTCCGGAAGAGGAAGTCTTTGATGGAGCCTACATTCATCAAAGTTGCCACGGCTGCCACCTTAAGAAACGACAGGAAGAAGAGGGGGGAAGGGGGGGCAAGGAAAGGGGCAGATATCATAATTACATCCACCTCTTATGAATGGTCTCTAAACCAGGGTAGCTATTCTCTACACGTAAACGTGTAAGTTCCAGACCTTTACTTCACATTTGACAAGTAACTATTCATATTTTCCTGACGCTCTGCACAGCATTTTAGCAAATTAATCCCATCCAAAAATAAAAAAATATCCTCCCTCCTCTCATAAATAATCTGCTCTTGGTTCGTTCACTCAGTTCTTAATGTTGAATCGCAACATTTGTTTGTAATGTTGGTTCATAGCAGTCATTTGTGAGGGTTGTTTGTTGTGTTCGTTTGTAACTAACTAGCCAGCTAACAAACTAACTAACCAACCAACTAATTAATTAATGTTTACCATATTTATCCCATTTCTGAAAGAGCAGACCAGTACTTGTTGATTAATCTCACCTTTGGACATTCTGCCTGCCTTGCTGTAGATATCATGGGCTTGTCTGCCATCTGATGCGACCTGGATAAAAAGATTAAATCATGCTTTGTTAACAAAGATTTTGCCTTTTTGTCAAAATGCTGATACCTTGAACGCTAATAGTCTACAAACCAATGTTCAAATTAATGTGTGCATGTTAAAATTTTAGCACTTCTTTCAAACATAAAATTTTCACCATAATTATCAAGAAAGTCTGGATTTTTCCAAGGTTACATTTTCAAATGCAGAGATACAAATGTCACCAGGCCTCTCTGAGTTGGATTCCAAAATTGGCGTAGGTCTTTAATATTTGAGGCTGAAATCTTGCAATACAAAGCTTTTATTAAGTTTAAATAAAGCTTAGTTAAAAAGGGGCAGAATTTTAAATATCTGAGATGATTTCCGTGTAAAACGACAAAGTCGTAATCATTTGTTCTGACACTTCTTTCACCCCACCAAAAAAAGTGGTCAAAGATTAATCTCATTATAGAGGGCACTTTCATATCAGAAAAATTGCTATAAAGAGCAAACTCTGAAGCCACAAGGCTCCCTTTTGTGTTTGCTTTTTTCCTCCTTTTATATCATGGTTCTGGTTGAAGAAAGGCAATCTGACAAGTCCCAGTAATTTTGCTGAAATGAGAGCGGGCTAAACAAGAGTTCAAAGCAAACACAGCTCTTACTCGCTCTTCCAAAACCCTCCAAGAGCCTCCCACAGGATTTTGGAGAATTTGGGAAAGTAAGACAGAAACTGATTTGCGTATCCTTGGGCCAAACGTACAAAAGAGAAATGCTATTAAAGTAAAAATCCTGACTCGTGTGAAGTCGACTCTTACTTCAGTATTTTTACCCAGCCCTCGGTGTCATAAAAGGCGTGGCTCAGGACCAGCTTACTGGTGCCCAGGAAGGTGTTCCTCTTGAAGACCTCCTGGCTGAGCTGTAGGTACAGCTCCTCGCACTCATCCAGGGAGGCACCGCCACAGGCCAGGAGGAAGCCCAGCACGGCCCCCGAGCTCACCCCCATCATATAGTCGAAGAGGTCTCGGATTGGCTGGGAGGTACGGCGCTCTATCTCACGCAGAGTCTCAATTGCAATGACACCCCTGTGCAACGATTCAGACAGCCCAACGGTTTAAGATTTACAAATTGCCTTGTGTCTCATACCAAAACCATACACCTGAACCCTAACTTTTAACCAAACCCTTTACTGGGATTTACCCAATCACTAACCCTCACCCATAACGAAGACTCCAACACTTCGCCACCTGTGACAGCCATACCAAAACACAACATTTCATAAAACTATGCTCATGCAGCAAAGCTCAATCAGTGGCCATCTGCCAACTACTTTTCAATTTCCTTGGCTACCTATGCAAAGTTTATCATCTGGGTAGAGGGAAAACTCAGCAAGTAGTTCACTATTTGTCACCGATAAAACTTGGCTACATGTTAACAAAAGATTGATTTAACTTGTTAACCCTTCAGTTTAAACAATTGCCAATTATTGTGAGAAAGAACAAGCTTTTCGAGTAGACATGGTAGAACTCAAAATGCAAAGTAGTTTTTACAAGTCTATCTCTTGTGGAATATAGAAATGACTGTCTGTGGATTACAGAAATGACTGTCTAAGCTGGACTTTTTATTTTGAAATGGTGATAAAATAGAGCAAGACAATACAATCAAAGCATGGTTGCACTTTTGACTCCTTTTGAAAAGGAGAACTAGATTGCGTCTGAAAGGTCAGTCTGATATTTCTCAGTAAGAGCAGGTGAAAAAGAATAACTGACAACACAACAACACAGTTTTTAACAAGAATTTCTGGTGTTCTGGAAGCATATATTTTTACATTTTAGATAGTCAGAATAATTATTCTATGATATTTGATATTGATGAATTTATATTAAATGAAATGCATCTATATTAGATGAAACGCTGTGAAGGGCCCTGAGCATCAACTTTGGATGGATTCGGCACTATACAAGAAATATTAACGTTATTATTACACGAACATATACATGTACATGTAAAACAATGGTAAAAAAACTGACCTCGTGCCACCTCCATCAATGGATAAGATCCTCAAGCCCCGCCCCTTGACCGGGGCTGCATAGCCCAGAATGGCTAATGCCTCATTCACCTGCTCCCTCATGGCCAAGTCCCTCGTTGACAGCATCTTCAGCAAGGCGGGGATCAGCTTCTCCTTGAAGAGGGTAAAGACGACAGGAAAAAATTTAGGCCACAAACCTCGCTGCTGCCACACAACCTTCGAGCATTTTCCTTGCAAAATCCTCACGATGTAGCGCAGTCAAGAGTGCCACTTTTCACAAACAGTAACTGTGACCATTTTTCTATCTGTCAGAATTTAGTGGTTCTAGTCCCACGGAGTTCAAATTACAAGCTGGCCTAAGGGTTCAACTGATCCACAGCTATTCTCGGATGATATGGACTCAGCTACTGGTACATGCATTAGCTCAATTCTCCTTGCTTAAATGACCACTGTGAGCAAGGACCCCATCACCTGTGACCAAATGGACTAAGCAGGCAAGCTCTCAGCAGCTACACATGGACCTTGCCCAATGTATAGATAAATCAGGCAACTACATGTACAAGTATGGTTAATGCTATCGCTGGCCATTTGCTGTGGCCCCCACCAATGGCGGTGAGCACAGTGATAACTATTGGTATGAGGCAACTGCTGAGTTATTTCCTAACACTACCAAAACAGTGCTTTCTGCCATCAATGGGGGCCACTGTGGATGCCCAGTGAAACGTCCCTGGATTCCTCTACACGGTGTGTCCAGCCAAAAGCACATTGTTGCTACATGTACATGTAGATGGCAGTTGATCACACACAGAGGCTGTACATCTGTCCCTGAAACTTCCTCAGTTGGTCACAGCCCACGTACCTTTATGGCCATCTCCCTGGATTCAGGATATTGCATCAGGTGACTGCATAATCTCTCCAGTTTCAACAACTTCATGGCATTGCTGGTTGCACTGCAGATTCCAATTGCCAGGTTCTTGGTGCGATCATCAATGGAGGTCTTGGAAATCACCTAAATCCACCCAATGGGTAAAATCGTCATTATCAGCTCTGTCCTATCAATTCAGCTACTGCTGCAGACTGCACCACAACAAAACATTTTTAGAAAGATTTCCGATTCTATCAAATCAAATGCCAATTTGGCCTTCAAGCCTTATAAAAAATGATTTTAAAAAGTGGGCATGTTCAGAGACTTTGTGATGGAGCCAAAAAGTAGCAGGATTAAACTAATGCCATCATGAGCACACCAGAGATTACAAATGCTTGAGGGCAAATAAAAGAAATTTGACACCAAAGTTCCTTACTGGTTTGATCTGTTTCCTGGGTTTCTTGGCTGTTGCCTCTCCAGCCTCCAAGGCCCTGTCTTTCCTCATCTTGGCTTCCTTCTCGGTCTCCTTTACCGGGGACACCTGACTATGCTTGCCACTCTCCCCATGAGGCACCCTTGGTTCTTCCAGGGCCAGATTCATGCTGACGATGGGGCTGGCGTCTAAGTCGAATGCATCCGCATCCAGGTCCTCCAGAGATCTCTTCTGAAGCTTGGACTCTGTCTTGCTGGATGCTCTACGGCCTGGTAGGGACTTGATCACGCTCTGCACGGCAGCAGCACTGGGGAAGTTAATGTTGGGGATGCTGCTAGTTACAGAAGACAAAGTACCGGGCTTTCTTTTGGACTCCTGTGACTGCTGATTGGAGGTTTTCTCAGATGCTTCATTTTCAGATACAGCATCAGCTGTCACATCTAAGCTTTCCGGTTTTAATGAGTCCACATCCTTAGGTTTCTGCATGTACGGCACCTGCTGTCCTTGGATTTCAGCTCTGCTGCCATCCTTTGGTTGAAGGCGATCACAATCCTCCGGCTTGGCTCCTGTCACTCCGTCCCCGCCTCTCTGCGTGCTCGCACTCCCTAAGAAGGGAGCTTTCAGTCTGTTAATCCGATCCTGGAAAGAGGGAATGTTGACCCAGAAATCTTTCTGCGCGAACCTCTTGCTGGTGTCTTCTGGAGGTGTCAGGTCTTGCTTGTCCTGCAACTTGCAATTCTCGGATGTTTCAGTGACGGCTGAATCAGGTTTTGCGGGGACGGTACACTCCTTATCCCCCGGAACTGACCTCGGGTTGTGACTATCAGGCTGTTTTGACTCCCCATTCATGCTGAAATGACCTCCAGTTATATTCTCGCCGTGTTTTGCTTCCCTGTTATCTGGCTGGGCCTGCAACGTGAAGAAAGCACCCAAGAACTTCTCCCTGGAGCTGTGCACGCTGTCCTGCACTCTCGATCCGGTGGCAGCAACAGATGACTTGAGGTGCTTGAATCTGTCCTGCAGTGTAGACTGCCCTGTCCGTTTGGCGTCCTTGTCAATGTTGCCATTACTCCTCGTGTCTTTCGAAGAGAAGGGCCTGATGCCGAGAACCACCAGGGGATTGCCTGCTGTTCCCGGCTGTTTTCCGTGCTGGCTGCACCAGCAGACAAAACCCCACCCATGGAGCGATTTGTGGGCAGCAAGTGCCACTCGGTGATAACTATGTGACATTATGGCTATCACATTTCAGCATGCCAGCCTCACAGTCACATGGACGGTCTCAGTCAAAGCTACATGTATTTGCACATCCTAACGGGCACTTGGCATCGGCTACCAAACTTTTGCCATTCCCACCAGCGCATAATCCTGACATGCCTGATGATGCAACTAAAGTCCTGCCATGATTCAAAGTCATCAAGTCCTGTTGGAAGTAACCAAAATTGAGTTTTTGGTTTGCAGTTGGTAAATACAAATATCTGGAACATGACTCCTGCAAAACTGATACAAAATATTGCATGATCGTCTCCAGCATTTTAACGCAACTTGCTATAGAATAAATTTACGGACTTTACATGTATACAAGTAAACTTTTTGGGAATCATGTACATGTATCTGCAGACCCGTTGCCATAATAGAAGGAAGAGCTACATTTTAACTTTTGGATTCACCTTGGTAGATGACTATGACATCATGCTCAATAGCTGTAAGGGTTGATGTGAACAAAGGGCAGGGTTTTGAGAGAAATGATGAGAGGAACTGTGTTTTAACACATGACACATGGTTGAGTCAAATTTTGCATGGCTGGTTCATCAGTAAGAAAGTCACATTTTCTCATATTTTGCAGTTCAAAGTTCCCAAAAAATAGGGTCAGTGCAGAAGAGAGTGTTGCCGTTGGTTTTCTGGAGGGGGCTGACCAGTTTTGCACGGTTCAAATGACAGGAAAGTGGGGTCCCAAGTATGCCTTCCCCAACTATTGGAACCTTTTTTAAAAACAGTCTTTTATCAGCTCAACCATTTTGGAAGCGGGGGAGGACGACAGGGCATGAGCTACATGTACATGTACGTGCTGTGCTGTGAAGCTGTTCACGCTGTGGACATTTAACAAAAGAAGCACGGTGCAATTACGATGGACGCTAAATGTTAGTGCTTTGTGTTTCTTTTGTCAGATGTTCCTAGTGTCACACACTCGTTTATGACGTGCGTGTTCAGTGTGAGATGCGTTGTGTTAACAGGCACAGTGTACAGATGTGCAGATCGTTTTGTGAAGAGAAGCTGGATAGGGCTCAATTGCAGAGTACCATGCCGTCCCACACGATCAACCTCATAGCCAGGTACATGTACAAGTCAAAGTGTCACCCTCTTCTCAAGGGATTCTCACCTTGTACATAAGCAACCAGTCATTCCAGGAATCGTTTTTAGAGTAGTGGGGTATTCTGCAATTACTCCCAGGATAGCAAGTAAAAGCTCTGCATTTCACTCGAAATAGCTGGTGACACAGTCCACAAACCATGACGCATCAATCATGCCCATGCGTTTTTAAGGAGATATGGGAAAGAGTTCCATAGGCCTACATGTATGTATACCAACAACAGTAATTTTCCCTTAAAATGTTACAACAGCCATCAGAAAGACATTAAATACGTCCCAAGAAATTTAGCTTGGAAATTTCTCAAGCATTTACTTAGAAACCACTTAGGCCTAGGTTTTTTTCAGACAAATCTCGTAGTTTGTGCACAGAGGCATCAAAGATTGTAAACGAAAGTTTTACCAGATATGATTTAGTTCTGACGGCTTCTTGGGGAAGACTGATTGAGAAAGTGTAGTTTCGATGTCAAAAGGTGGAACACTGCAGGGCTGCATTTCCATTGAAAGTTTGGAGTACATTATCCTGCCATTAGCATGTTGTACTAGGGCCAAGATCATGATCATGATATCTGGATATCTCGAACTTCGCAATCCTCGAGACATGCCAGAAGTCATGAGCATTATGGCTGGACTTACTCAAACCAGCTAAGGCCTACATAAAGTTCCAGATCAAAATGACAGCTGTTCTCGCCCGATTAATGCATCCATGGGGGAAGGATCGCGCCCGGCCTGCATGTCCTGTCACTTCCCCTCCTTCCTCCATGCACACACGCCATGTTCACTGTCCAGTTTCCGGACACCATTTTTTTTACTCACCTCGTACTTTCAATTTTCATTCAAAGTGAATGACAACTAATTGCCCATTGTTCTATACCAGAACCTTTCGTATAAAACCTGCTACTTCAACTGTCAATATACTAGATATTGCCCAAACTTCCAAAGTACTTAGCGTCAATACATCCATGGAGGAAGGAACACACCACAACAGCAACAGCGTAATTGCTGTGTATCATCGTATCATCATCCGATGTAGGCTTTGCCTGAATTCTTTCTTCTCATTGGCTACCTATGAACTTTGACAAATCGAGTGTTTAAACTATTCTCTTTATCAGCCACATTTGGCCACCACAGCACACGTCTACGGATTTAACACTCAAAGATAGTGTGACTTGATAAAGCTTACGTCTGGTTGCAGAGGTTAGTTTTTTGTAAACGCTATTGGCTGGCCAAACCCTTACGCAATAGTTCTACATACTCAACATACTTCATATGCATCACGGGGGAGTATCGCACTGCACGGCACGGCCATGTGCAGTTGTTTTTTTGCAACCAAATCTTCCAGGGAATATATCCACCATGGATGCAAACGGTAATATTGCGCCGTTCACTTTCTTGTGATCGATTCAATTCATAAGTGCGTTATTTCCCTTAACTGTCAGAACAAAGACAGCCAGCACAGCAGAGCACGAAGAAATACTCGTTACATTCGTGTGAAAAGCACCCTTGTCTTAATAGTTTATTCCAGTCACTCTAAGAACATCTCAGGAATAATAAATATCCAGCACATGAAAATTATCTTTCAAAAGGCCCAGAAGTCATCACATGGTCATGGGTGGTTTACCGTTAATTAACTTCAAGTAAAATGCCGCTGGATATGCGGCTGTAACATTTCCTTTGATAAAAATCATCATTACATTATGAATAATTGTGGAGTGCAGTGCATGATTATGGCGCTTGATCCTTTTCTGTTCCACTGTTTAGCGGGTTTGGCCAATCCCTTCCAAAAGGTTTGTGAAGTAGGCCTACGTCTAGGCCGTGCAATAGAGCCTGAAAGTTGACCTCTGATGGCGCGCTTCTGGAACCCTTGAATAGGAAATATTAATAACGTGCAAAGATTGTAGAATTTGTAATATTTTTAGTGCAATTACTTCTTTAAAAATATCCAACTCGGAAAAAGGGCTTTGGAAAATATTTGCTAGTATATTAAATTATAGAAATTGAAAAATTACTAGACCTAAAAGAGAAATATCGTGCCAAAAATGGACCCATCACTTCCAAAAATCTAATATACACGAAGAACAATCGAATTAATGCGACGGTCATTGGCAAGCTCTGATTCGTGCCAAAATGAAGAAGAGTTTATTGAGGGGAGGGTAGCAATCTGCTTTACATGTGCGCACTTGCATTCCGCGTTTAAATTAATGCTGGAAGTTAGAGTTTCACTGGCTGTCTGGAAAATCGCGCCCAGGGGCCAAACCAGGCTACACCCCTGCAATTAACATAGTGGGTTGATCGCTTGCTGCTTGATCAAAGCAAAAGTTGTCAGTAATGCACATGCGTTGCATTGTTTAAACAAATTCTATCTGAGGGCTCGAAGCCTAATTCATGCATACTAAGCTAATAAGTCTACCCCAGTGCCTGGGAGGGGGGTGACGAGCAAATTTGTCCATTGTCTTTGGATAGCTACCCACAACACCTTGTGTTCTCGTTAAATAAAAAAGTAGCAAATCAGCTGTTACAAAAGTACGTACCTTTCAAGGTGGTAAATAGTGATTAATTCAAAATGTAAACGGACGAACAGTGCGCACTAAGCGCATTGTTACAAAACCCCACATATCGACCGAGTACTACCTCAGTTCAAGACAATCTAGACCCAAGATTGCATGGCCCGGCCCACCACGACTACAAGATACAAGAACATGTACATGCACGTACATGTACCTCAAACATTGAGGCATTATACTACAGAATATCCAAAAATGTAGGCCGACTCTACGACCTACAATATCTACAATACGAGATGCTTGTCTGCCTGATGCACGCTAAATCTATATGTGTAAATTACCACATTGCAGAAGCACACAGCGACAGGGAAGGACAATTTGTTTCATTTTTAATTAAACGAAACTATAACCACTGAAAACCCTCCAGGCCACTGTGAGCTGAACTGTGGAAGTAGTCTTGAACGGTCACGTGTCCAGTTCATGAACCTTTCTTTGCTCCAACGAGCACTGATCGCCCTTTTTGAACGAGAGGTCAGTATAAAATGGAAGGTCAACCTTAGCAAAAAGAATACTCTTAATGAAAAGGAGGACGTATATATTCATTTAGCATTCAGCAGAAGTATAAACACAATGTTGTTGTGACTTTTGTATATACACGTTCATAAATTGTTGGGGTAAGCTTTGCCAATTATTGTTTTTGCACTGACGGCCTATCACAGTGTGCCATCCACTGGATGGTCGTCCAAACCTACGACTGGACAAGGCAATATCGGAAAGGTCTTCAGGAAAGGCCACCTGATACGCACTGTGTTGCAGATTTACCGTTGCATGTAAATTATACCTAGAATATACTGCTTAGCACATGATAACCTCATGAATACTACTCAAATTTGCATATAAGTTATCCTAGTACAGTGCGTTGCAAAGAAATTACCTGATACACGTATGCAGCATAGATACTTTTTACCTGCGCGAACATACAATGAGCACGGCGCGCGCCTTCGCCAAAACTAATATTGGACCCCCTTGTGCCAACATGTAATGAGTAAATCGACAAAAGAAACATTTAATTTGACATCATATATGACAAATTCCAAAGACTGCAGACGATAGAAAAAAACCCAGCAATTTACACTTGCTTAATCTGAGCGTTCAACTCAAAACAGAACCCGAAGGAGAAGCACATTACTTTCGCAGCATACAACCGGAAAAGACTTCATTGCCGAATGCTTGTGAATCAAATTTCTGTCTGTGCACATTCAATTTTTCCCAGCATTTAAAGTAGTGTGACCGACGACACTATCTCCTGCTATGTGCGGGCGGGTGGGGTGGGGGGATTCACTTCACTCATTTGGCCACGGAGGTTGTCCCCTTGCCATATTTGGCATGCGGCTGTGATGGCCCAGCACCGTCCTGACGAGGCACTGTTTCCACCTTGACTGCAGTCAAAGGAAAAAGAAAACAGAACCAGGAACATAACTTGATTTTCCACTTAAATCTGACATTATAAGAGGACAGTAAAAAAATTCTGGAATATAAAGCAGAGGGTTGAACAAATGATGTGAAATGAAGTGAGCGATGCTAAGATTGCCGTGTGGCCGCCCTGCACCCCCCCCTGCAGTGACGTAACTACAGGGGGCACGGGGTACGTGTCCCGAATGAAGGTCCGTGCCCCCGGAAGCTAACTCCGATTTGAATATTTGAAGTACGGTAGCCACAGTACATCCGCTTTCGGTTCTACTTAAAAAAATATTTCTCAGTCTTTTGGGGGTACACTCGTGTGGTGGTGTTGCTGTATGATCTCTTCGGTAATTAGTTTTAGTTTGGATTGTCTTCAGTTCGAGTGAATTAATTTGTCCTAAAAATACCTTCTGGTGGGTCCGGGTTGGGCTTCGCTGGGGCAAAGGCGTCCGATGGTGTGGGCGATTCAGGATCGTATCCATTTATTCTGAAATCGACGAGGGAAATAGACAAAGTACGCAAAGAAGTAAATCATAACAAAGAAAGCCTTCATGGCAAACATGTCAAGCCTTAGGGTGTTTTACTCGAAAAGCACGAGGCACGTCAGTTAATAGGCGAGCCACAGCAGCGCCATTCTGTTTCAAAACAGAAGTATGTCGGGAGAGGATTCCAAAGTAAACTTTGTTTAAAATAATCTAGTGTAAAAAAATGTTTAAGTTCTAAATTATTTACATTGGTCCAAAATTACTCTGTTAGTTCTTTTGCGAGCGGGAATTTTTCCCTCTTAGTTGCTGAACGCACGAGAATGTGTAAGAAAGGCAAATGCGTCATATTTCAGGTGAACCACCATCTGAATCTCTAATCGTAAATGCAAATTTGAAAGAACCTGACCAGGATTTGCCGAACATTATAGGGGGAATCTTCGGAGGATCTTCCAAAAAACAACGTTATCAAAATCAATTTTTCGTACATTTAAGCACAGTTACAACCGTCAACAGATAACGTCAGAAATGTTTGTGAGTCTCCCCAGATTTTTAAAGTAAGTATAGCCTAGGTGTTGAGGATTAATATCAGTGGAATAACTCGGGTGCGATGAAAATATTCCACTCAACGACGGTAACAACATCTTTTTCTCTCTCCTGCCTCCACTTACTGGTCTCGAATGCAGAGTATGACACACATGATGATTGGTGTAGACACGGCCAATACAATGACACAGTAAAACGCAGTGTTGAACATCGAAAAGAGCACTGGTGGCTCAAAACGGTGGAGATCTGCAAAAGTAGGAAAACAGGAGGCCCAAATCATTCAAATACAGTGTCCGTGAAGAGAATACCCCCCCAAAAAACCAAACCAAACCAAAACAAAACACCCCCTCCCCCAAAAAAACCCAAAACCAATCAATTAAATCGTAAGTACGACATTTAAATCGTTTACACGCTTGAATGATATCGTGCCTATGTGTGCGCATATTTTGGAGGGGATGGTATGCCCCCCGTGGGCGCAAGGCGCGCCTCTCAGACCGCATCAAAAAGTCACGGCTGGGTGGCTGTCCGCCCAAACGTCGACTCTTCCTGGCGGCCGACACAAATTACTTCCGGACGCATTCCATGGGCCATAATGTATAATGTCATCGGCCTCAACCCCCCCCCCGGCGTTAGTCCTTTTCCCAAGCAAAATCAGATTTGAAACTCTGCTTGGTTGGAGGCTGGACACAGATAAAAGGTTTTGCGGGTAAATCATGTGAAATCAATATCGTCTATAAGAGTGGCGATTCTGAGAAGAAGTGGTGAGTGTCATACTCGACGTTTAGCCCTGGGATGCTCTGGTCGTCCTCAAATGACCAGGATGCCCTGGTCGTCCTCAAATGACCAGAATCAGGATGCTCTGGTCGTCCTTTGGACTGGTTCTTCTCAGAGCCACCACTCCTGTGGAAGGTACTGATTTCACACGATTTACCCACAAGCCTTCTCTCTTCGCCAAGCAAAGTTGTTCAATTGAACCTGTTCGTTGACATCAATGCATGTTATCAAAACTTTAAAGGTTAACAGAAATTGAAAACATTTAGTTCACGTGAAGTATTTCAAACTATTAAATACGTAACCATTTCAAAAGCATCATAAATTCAACGTTTTTGCCTAGTTAATAGTGACTCCCAGATCCTGCGAGATCCTGCGTTTCCCCGCCCACAAAGAAATCCCCTTTGGCCGTTCGCGCTCCCCGGTTGATATGTTGACGTCATCGGCAGAACGCCTACACGTACAATGTACATTGCATGATTGCATTATCGCACGCTTGCAATAGACCACGTTGTGCTTGATGTAGCTTGGCCCACAGGCAAACACTGTCTCGGTTCAAGGTAGAAACTAAAAGACATGGCCCTACCGTGTATTTCTTGAACTGAACGTCATTTTGGGATTACGATTAATGGGGTAAATATTACATTTACTATGTTTTTGAAAACGAATTTATTGTTATTTTGAAATACTTCACATAAGCTATATGTTTTCAATTTCTGTTAAGCTTTTAAAACGTCGTTCTCCGTACGGTGTGACCCTCACAACCTCCCTAACCATTTTTTCTTTTACTAGGCCCAGTAATACCAACGCATAAAATCCAGAAATGAACACAAAAAAGGCACCTTTTGGCTGTAAATTGAAAGAGAATTCCCTGGATCCCTCTTTATCACCGTTGTCATACTCGGCGACGACGTAGAAGTCAAACTTGCCATCCTTTTTGAGACCCTGAAGCGTGCACTGGGTTCGCCGACCGCAGTCCTTCGATTTCCATTTCTTTCGATCTTTACGTTTGTAGAAGATCTAATCCAAATCCAAACAAAGCGTCAAGGCCAATTAGAGAAGGCTCTATATGGACTTATGAGCTTTGAAGCTTTCATGGCGAAGGTAGCAAGTAAGGTATAGGGGTTTGAGGTAGCACCGAGTGAGGATATCTCCTTCTGAGTATGTGTGGTTCTGAAGATAACCGGAGGGTACTCAACGTTTCAGACAGTATGCTCTGTCCGTCGTCAGAAGACTTCAGAGGTTCCATCAACAATGAAGCTGCTTATATTGTGTCTGGAGGCGTTGGGGTGTGGAGAGCAGCGGCGTAGCTAGGATTGTACTATGGGGGGCACCAGTATCTTACGGGGGGCACAGACTTTCAGTGGTGTGCTTTTTTTTTTTGGGGGGGGGAGTTTTTGTTAGCCTTGTTCAATATCCATTCCACCGTTCTTTTAGTGGCGGGGGGGGCACCTGGGGGNTTTGTTAGCCTTGTTCAATATCCATTCCACCGTTCTTTTAGTGGCGGAGGGGGCACCTGGGGGCACTGACAATTTGTGGAGTTGGGGGGCACGTTACCCCCAAAGCCTCCCTGTGGCTCATGGAGAGGATGCTAAGTCTTTCCAGAACCACACATACTCAGTAAGAGGTATATACCCTGGCATGGTGCTACCGCTAACCTTTATGGAGTTTACATTATGAATTTATGTGTTCACGCTTTCAGTGGCTTATCGGAAGAATATGAAACGCGAACGATAACACGCGGCATTAACTGTAGCCACAATCGTATAATTATTTAAGTAATTCTGCCATGATCTGTAGACAAAAATAAGTCGCCCAGAAAGTGCGGCCGCGGATGGGGGGGGGGTCAAAGCCTCCCTGCTTTTGAGACAAAAAAGGTCAGAATGGGGAAACTAATGCATATTCACTTGTAAGTGGCCGCGCTCATCACGTGAAACGTATTGTGCACGGTACAGTTTCCAATCTGACTATTCCATTGGTATGGCGCCAGGTGCGGGTATCAACTCGTTGCCATGGGAATAATTTTGCCGCGCCATATTTGTTACCACCGGTGCCATGTGCGATCTGTAATTACATTGCTCTATGGTAATTAATTATCCAACCACAATGCATCTTACTTTGCATGCGTGGTTTCAGTCGATGTCTATTTCAAAAGAGGACGGCTTGGATTGGGTATTTAATAAGTGAAAAGTGGCGTTTTACAGGTACACTCCTTCCATTGTGTTGTGCATAAAATACACTGCTTGTCATCCAGTCTCATATGCATTGCTGACGTTGAAAAGGTTTATTTGAACTGGCCTGTACAATATCAAGACACACTCAGGACAAGAAAAACATGGTGTCCTAAAACGGACAGGTGAGCATCGCAGTTCAACCGAAGTGCGAAGTGTGAAACTTGAACCACGAGCCTGACAAGTTGAACCACGCTTTAAAAGTTGAACCATACCGCTTGCCTGTATGTTTTAGAACAGCATAGGGCACCTCCTGATTGGTGGAGCCAATGAGTATGGCATCTGGACGTGTATGGCTCGGTTATACAAACCTTATATCTGACAAGGTGAGTGTCGTTGATTGGCTGCCAAGAGATGAGGGCAGATTCTCTACTTTTGACGGTAGCTATGACTCCAGACGGGGCGGGCCGTCGCGGACCTGCACGGACGAAATTGGGCAAAAAACAGATGGTATTGAGATGAACAATCAATAAACAATATATAATGCCAGAGATGCCACTTTATTACCTACATATCAAATCGTGACCATGGTGCACGGTTTCTCTGTGCCCTCGTCTCTAATCATTAACCGTAACCCACACTTTAGGCCCACAGTGGATCATTGGGTTAACCCGAAACGGGTGTCCGAGCTGTGAATCACACCGAAGTTTAATTTAAATCTGTTCAATGGGTCTATTTTCATGAGAAGAAAAGTTCACAAACATAAAAGACTTGTTATGCAAGCATGCATGGAAGGCCTGGTTCTCAAAGCTGTAGTAAGTTTTTGCTTTCAGCGTTTGTGATATTTTACAAATTTGTGAACGGAAAAACTTACTTAACTGATCCCACTATCCCCATTACCACTCGCATCAAACACACAACTCTGTGCTTCTAAAAACATTACACTCATTATATTTCACAATTTGGGCTAAGTCAGAATGTGAACGTGGGAGCTAGCACTATTCTTGCAAAAGATCCACTGCAAAAGAGACAACAAGAGAATAATGAACTGTCTATGTCTCACAAAGTAAACAGAAAAGTCAAACTGTAGTATTACGCGAAGTATAATCTCCGGAAACTGTTCATTTTTTTCACCTGTCACATTCAAGATGGCATTGGCGATGATTTGGCCATGGTCATTGGTTGCCACGCACTGGTACACTTTCATGTCCTCCACAACGATGGAAGACAAGCCATCTGTAGAGAGAAGTTATGTTTTAAGGCCTATGCTATATACATTTTTGTTTACTATAGTTCTGGAAATGAACCCATGTATTTTAATGAACCACGCTTTTCAGTGTTTGTTCTGCTATTTAAAACGGTACTTGGTTTCTTTTTTATTTCATGCTAGTATGAATTACCTAACTAATCAGCAAAAGTGTAGTGTATTTCAGGGAAAACCGTCGAACGGATGTTCCATTGCGCACAAAAACTGCTGGCATTTTCGATATTTTTATGTGTCCTTTTCTTGTTTTAAATTTCTCCGTTGTTGATTCATTGTTGATATGAGAACAGCCGTCGAGCAACCCGTTCTCCAACTTAATGATTTCAACGAGCAAAGCTTAGGTACACAATTTGCACAGATAAAGCGTTGTTTTCCCTGATTGAAATCGCACAAAAATCGCCCTCTGTTTTTTGGAAAAACACAGTTAATAATTTGAATGATTTTAGACGGAGAAACTCTAAATACACTTATCACCCAAAAATTGTTTTCATAAAGTGGAGAAGACTTGAAGTGAAGTGCTTGTAGCACTTTCATTCAGCTGGCAATTTCTTACCATACTGTGGCATGGATTCCCCATTCTCCATCCAAGTGATGTTGGGGGTCGGCTTGCCGCCCGCTATGCATGACATTTCGGCAGTCTCGCCTTTACGGATAGTTGTGTCCCTGGGCTTCTCAATCCAGTAAGGTGCGGCTGAAAAAAAAAAAGAAAGTCAGCCTTTCAGCCGGGTCCATTTGGTAATAAATGTAATTAGTCCCATATCTAATAAGTTTCACGTTGTGCTCAATATCAGCTCCGTAATAAGGAGAGATGGCTCCTCTTGTGTACGGTCTTTACCTTCGACACGCAAGGATGTGGTCTGGTCGGCCATGTTTGTCGACGAAGCCGTGCAGGTGTATGTGCCCTCATCCCTCATCTGCACGCTGTGCAGGGTGAGCACGGGGCCCTCGGCGTGGAACGATGGGTCGTCAGACCTAGTCCAGCTAACATTTGGTGCTGGACTGCAAAACACAGGAGAATAACCCAAAAAACTAAGATGTTTAATTTTTTTTTTCAAACTCCTGGTGGCAGGAGGTCCTGTGATGCAAGTGAATATATAGACGGTAGAACAGTGAGAGAGGGGATCCTAACTGAACAGGTTTCCTTGCATAACTTTGCATTGTGTCTTTCTCACCCTCATTTGTGAATTTAAATAACAGTGAACTGTTTCTCTTTTTGCATGGGAATTCCCATCATCTTTCTCTTTGTATTTGGAAAGATGAAATCTCTGCGCACAAACGTTTTTTAATTCCCCTTGTTCAATGGTTGATTCAACAACAAATCAAAAAGTAATGATAAACGGAAACATTATTTCAAACAGGTGTGGATGCTGCGAAGTAGTGCATGTTTACTTGTTGCTTAGCCCCCCCCCCCCCCACAGAGTGAGTTCGTCTATCAAGGGCGTACTTTCCAATGGCCAGACAGTAGATCTTCACGTCTTCTCCGAGGGACGCTTTGACGACTCGGACGCTTTCGAGGATCTGTGGCGGTTTCCAGGGGGTAGCATCGACTACATCGGTGACGAGACAACAAGAGTCAACGAGAAATTATGTACTGAGAGTCTGCAAATCAGTGCCTATCCACTTGAGTAGAAGCACCCCCTCATCGATTGAAAAGGACCATGTAGATGGGGAGGGTTCATTTTGTTGGTCGCGACGCAATCACGGTGCCTGTAAACGTCAAACCAGCGAGGTGCAGTTCTATACCAACTGACCAAAGGAGTTCCCATTGATAGGAAGACTGCGCTCTCTCTCTTAGTTCCGCTCCGGGCAGATCAAGCAGACCACAGAGTCACTCAAAATTGAATTAAAACCGCCAACACCTCGGTCAGAAAACCGATGAAAAAATTGAATGGGGGACCCGATTTTGTTCACCCCCCTCCCAAAAAAGTGGATGCACCACCGCTACTTTTGCTTCGCCTACCCTAGGAAAGATCTATAACTCTGAATCAAACCTAACTAGAGACAGGCCAGTGTATCGAGTAAGTCTATGAATCTTTGTTTGTTCTTATTAATTTAGCCTTCTTTCAATTATAGCAACATCAAAGAGCTCTATGAATGAAGTTAATATAACTCCATGGATATCCAGTGCTACGTCAAACTCACAGATAACGACTAAAATTAAGATTGTCCCTTATTGTATGTTTACATCCACATATCATTCCCAGATATCGACATTATTATTACTCAAAAACTGAGTAGTGATTTACAGACTCAAAATGACACCTTAGCTCACCCTTTCTAACGACAACTGTCTTTTCCTCGGAGAATATAGATTTCTTCGTGACCGTTGACTGCACAATGCACCTGTAAGTTCCGTTGTTGGCCAAGGAAGCTCTCAGGAACACCAGGTTCCCGGCACCGTCTTGGGCCAGTCCGTGATCCGGATCCCAGGATGAGCCGTTGGCGAAGAGTGGGTACCCGTTGCGGGTCCAAGAGATCACGGGGGCCGGGTGTCCCGCTGGTGCCCGGCACGGCAGAATCAGCCAGTCGCTCTCGTTCACGTAAAACGTACTGCCGTCAATTTGGGTCTGATTGAACTGGTTCAAAACTTGATTGAATGGGGGAAAATCAGAAAAGGCACAATAAACACTACGATTAGATTAAAGGAAAAAGACACTGCCTTGGTCCGACAAGCGTGTTTGTACACAACAAAAAATTCCTCTGTAATTGGGGCCTCCCCACGGGGGTGGGCCCGCCTCTTTCTTTGGCACAGTTATGGGCACGGCGTTAAGGCCGGTTCAAACTTCCAGTGAACCCAAAACTAAAGCAAATTAGACATCCACTTGAGTTGAAATGTGTCATACAATTTCGCGTTTGGGTTTGCTTTCTCGCTAAGCATTAGCCTGCCTTCACTGTGTTTCTCTGCTCAGACTGACGTGGAACTTACAGGCGAACTCTACTTGGATGGTACTGGCCACGACCGTGCCAAACTCATTGGAGGCGAAGCAAGTGTACTTCCCGACGTCATTTTCCGAATCGACTACTAGCGAGCCGTCTGTGACATTCGTGGTTGAGATGTTGACTGTCATGCCGTCTTTTGTCCATCGATATCTGTTGAGGGGGAATTCATAATGAGGACTATTAGCGGTGTTTCTTCTGCGTCTTTAAAGTTAGAAAACCATTACGAGCAAAGACCACCGAGGAAGAAGGCACATAAAAACATGGGTCGAACTCGTCCAAATTTGATGTACGGCTGTGGTCGTTTATATACACTTCAACTGAATTTTGTAGACATTTTACCCAATCCTTATCTATTTGTGGCAATCATGTCTTTTCTATATCTCATCAATCAGGATATCTACTATTTATAATACTTTTTATTCATGGTCATGTCAATAGAATGCGTGTGCGGTTTACCAGTCACAAAAAGGAAAAGCAGCCAAGAATTAGACAAATCTGAAGAACG